TGGTTCATAGGTTGATCCTGAACCACTGAGCCACACCGGCCGTGCAAGAATTCCCTCTGTTTAAATCTGTTCTACCACAGGCCTTGTTTGGGGGTTTTTTGTTTGTTTTTTTTCTGCTTGCTATGAACATGAAATCATTGTTATCTCTCCTTCCCACCCCACCTTTTCCCTTTAGGAATTGTGAGGGGCAGAATATCCGCTACAAGACGTGCAGCAACCATGTAAGTTCTGTCATAAAAATACAGAATCGAGTAAAATCTTTTCATGTTTGCAGTTACAGTGTTGTAATGTCCACCGTGAAGCTCGCAGCCTCCCGGTCCCTTTGTGGAAATTTTGAATCATTGTTTAATCGGCAACAGGTTAAAACAATTCCATGATGCCACATTTCTGAGCTAATGTGGTATTTCATAATTTCTGAATTCCTAGAAATAATACCTAAGAGTAATTCCTAGAAATAATACCTGAGAGTTCAAAGGATATTTTCCCATTGGTTTTTAGAGAGAGCGAAAGAGAGAGGGAGAGACAGAGAGAAACACTGATGTGAGAGAAACACGTCAATGGGTTGCCTCCTGCACGCACCCGGACCAGAGTCCCTGGCCCGGGAAGAGCCTGCAACCGAGGTACGTGCCCTTGACTGGAATCGCACCTGGCACCCTTCAGTCCGCAGGCCGACGCTCTGTCCACTGAGCCACACCGGCCAGGGCTCCTATTGATTTTTAGAGAGAGTGGAAGGGAGAGGGAGTGACGCAGAGAAACATTGATGTGAGGGACACATATCTATGGATTGCCTCCCACACAAGCCCCCACCAGGCCAGGGAGTGAGCCTGCAACGGAGGTACATGCCCTTGACCGGAATCGAACCCGGGATCCTTCGGTCAGCAGGCTGACGCTCTACCCACTGGGCCACACTGGCTGGGGCTACGGATTCCGTTTTGAATGTTGAGAAGGAAGGCGGTGGCTCCCGGAGAGAGGCGTTGGCGGGGAGGGTGGTCGCATGGGACGCGGGTCCACGTGTCCAGCCTCCCATGGACCCTTGACCTCTCCCGCCAGGACTGCCCGCCGGACGCCGAGGACTTCCGAGCCCAGCAGTGCTCCGCCTACAACGACGTGCAGTACCAGGGCCGCTACTACGAGTGGCTGCCGCGGTACAACGACCCCGCCGCGCCCTGCGCGCTCAAGTGCCACGCGCGCGGCCAGACCCTGGTGGTGGAGCTGGCGCCCAAGGTGCTGGACGGGACGCGTTGCCATAGCGACTCCCTGGACATGTGCATCAGCGGCATCTGCCAGGTAAGC